ACATAAGCTCGTCAGATAAGTGACTCGGTGTCTTTCCCTATCACTCTTGCACTCACTATGCTGTGTTAGGGTTAAGTTTTCCAAGGCCTCCTTCCTCGTTATGGGTCTGATGAATTTCAGCTGTCTTTTTCTGATTCTGAATAGAAGTCTTCTTTCTGTTGCCGTTTTTCATTAAGACTTCCTTGTTGCTTACTCGCCCCGTCTATGGAATTCTTAGTATCCTTCTGTAGAACCACATCTCTGCTGTCTCTAGTTTTTCCTTCTCATCCCTGGTGAGATTGACCAATATTCACTGCTATATAAGAGGATGGATATCACATAGCAATCCAGCTCTCTTTTCTTTGTTTGGAATGCTTCTTTCGCCAGACCAATGCCTCTTCGGATGCAATATATACTAATATAACATCCGAAACAAAAAATAATACTGATTATTATTATTATTATTAATAATAATAATAATAATAATAACTAGCAGTAGAGCCCGGCGTTGCCCGGGGATATAACAGTAAGAAATAGATCAAGTATCCACCATCATAAAGACTGAAAAATAAAATTGACAAATTTTTAGATTATTGTTTAAGGTTGACGGACACGCATGTCTTAATTAGTTTTTTTTTTTTTTTTTTTTTTTTTTTACGAATTGGTCAAACCCAAACTCAAACAAAAACATTGTTTTCAATCGTTATGAGTCTCCCGATTGAATAGAATTATAAATATTTGTCTTGTAAATGGAATTTTTAAAGCATTCTTAATGTCAAAATTAAAGAAAAAAGTGTGCAAGAAAATAAGGAACACGACCTGCCAAAAATAAAAAGTGAAGTTTTGTTTTATCGGCTGAAAAATATAGGAAATCCGCCCCCATATTTAAAGGAACCCACACACACAAACAACCCGATGTGAGTTGTCCCCCTTACATTTTCACGATGTCTCTTAATCGTGTTTTCAAATTGATTTTGTGCAAAAGCAATTATATTTTTCCCATTTTTGGCGCTGTTAGAACCACCACAAGGTAATTTTATGTAGTCCTGTGAAGTTTTGTTGAAATCGGTTGAAAAATGTAGGAAATCCGATCTAATATATAAACGTTACAGACACACACACACACACACACAATCTGCGTTTTATAATAAGTAAGATAATAATAATAAGAAGAAGAAGAAGAAGAAGAATTGTGTTAGTCCAAAATGCAGATTTTGTGATAAATATTCGGAAACAATTGATCATCTTGTATCAGGTTGCAAGGTACTGGCACCCACTAAATGCAAAACTCGGCATGACAGAGTGGGTCAATATCTGCACTAGAAAATATGCAACTTTTACGGAAAAGAAACTGCAAGAAATTGGTATCATCACCCAGACCCGGTTACGGAGATAGGACCTGTAACAATTTTATGGGACTTCACAATACACACAGACAGAACAAAGCTAATCGCCCTGACATCGTAATTAGAGACCGCAAAGACAAAATGTGCCTGTTTATTGGCATGGCAGTCCCTGCAAATTATGATGTATCTTTGAAGGTCTTCAAAAATTATCAAAATATAAGGACCTTGAAATCGAAATCTCAAAAATGTGGCACATGAGGACATCAACAATTCCAGTTGTAGTTGGAGCCCTCGGATTGATTGGAAAAGATTCCAATAGACTGATTAAAGGGATTCCTGGTAGCCTATGCCTTAAAGAAATACAAGCATTGCTCTCATAAGTACAACCCACAGAGAGGAACCCGGACGAAGCTTTGCCGAAGGGAAAGGTTTCGTTCGGGGAGGTTAAGACAACTCTCGAACCCGCCTTTGTTCGAAAGGCTATATTTTTGGCCGGGCCTACGGGCTCGGATGACCACGTAAAACTCGGCCTTGTGCCACATGCGACCCCTCGGGGGGCGGACAGCTAAATATAGCTGTATATATTGAGATTCTAGACAAAATTCAAAGAAGTGTCCGTAATATGATCGATCCTGACCTGGCATCTCGGCATCAGTCAGTCAGTTTCTCCCTGACGTGGCGTAGCTTCCCTCTGTCTTTTTTACCTGGTGACCCGACTACATGGATTTAAGCGTTCTACTAGATTGATATCTCGGTTTCAACTGCTTATATACAATCGACACTTACACCCTAAGAGTTTCTTTTCTCGCAGTTCTCACCTGTGGAACTCTCTCCAGATTTCTTGCTTCCCTACCAACTACAATCTTCAAAAATTTAAATACAATGTCAATCGCCATTGTCTGTCAGCCGAACCATGTTCCTTTATTGTCTTTTCCTCGTTTCTTCTCACTAACATCTTCACATTGTCTTTGTGGGGAAACGACTACATAAAAAAACACGCATATATATATATATATATATATATATATATATATATATAAAGACATTTTTATGTTTATACATTCTTTTTATAGATACAAATATTTAAGTAAATGCTCTGTTTATAATAAACAGCATTAACAACATTTACCGGCCTGAATGTCCAAGAAAATTTCATAGAAAATATGCGTCCTCCGACAGAAATCGAACCTGTATCCTATACGGAACCGTCATTTAGCCTGACGTGCTTTTACCGATTTCGCCACAGCGGAGCGTTTCGGT